TTGATTTGAACTTAACTCAACTCAAATAAATTCAAGTCAAAATTGAGTCGAGTTAAACTCGAGTCGAGTCAAATTGAATCGAGTTTAAAATTTATATAACTCGAATCAAGTCGAGTTGAAAGATTTTATAAAATAAATTTGACTCGATTCGACTCAAAAAAAACGAGTCGAATAGAGTTGATCTTTAAACTCGACTCGACTCGACTCATTCGGAACTCTAATAAAAGGTATATTTGAAGACAGACTTTTGATATATACTGATTATAGTTTTTTTCTATAGCTGTTCAGAGATGTGAAAGTATACAAACTTTAATCTATTCTTTTCTTTGCCGATTATTAGCTGAACTGAATTCCACACATATATGCAATTGATTATATAATTCTGGATTTTTAAGAGAATATAAAGGTCTACCAGGTGAATCATACTTTTCTACAACATTATTTTCTAATAATTGACGTTTTTGCTCCTGAAGTTTTCCTTGTGCTGCTGCATATCATTTAAAATGGGTAAGTTGTTTATCTTATTATATTATTATTTTTTTTCTGTATTTATTTGATGTATAAGATGCTTCCGCATAGAACTATCTGTTGTAATATTAAGCATAATAGTATATTCTACTACATTTTTTTGTACACATTCCTTTTTACTAATAGCACTGTATTGTGAGATTGCATTTGGTACTATTTGATTTTTCTTGTTAAGTTCAGAATAAACCTGTATAGGCTTTGATATAGTATGACGAACTGGTCTAAAATTTAAAACTTGAAACCTATTTTCTATTAATGGAACTGGAGTATTTAGAAAATTTGTAATGAAATTCTTAATTTCGTTTGTATTTTTTCCTTTTACTTCAGTCCACATAGTATTTGCTTGCTCCATTAGTTGTTGTTTTGGTGGGTTTAGATTCAAAAGTTCAACTATTTTATGATATGCTCATACGTTACAAAACTCATGGTATAAATATGTTGGATTTTTATAAAAGTATTTTTTATCAAACTTTGGACTTGTTAAAAATGTTTACATCTTGTTAAAAAAAATTTTACATACTTAAAATTTTAAAAAATTTTAAGTTCTATATGAAACGGATAATAGTTGAAGGAAAAAAAAATCCGTTTAAAAAAAAGATTCGTTTATAGATTATCTATCAGGTGTAGTACAGATCACAGGAGGGGAAGGGGTCAGACCTTATATTAGCCCTAATCACGTAATTTCTGGCCCTTCCCTAAAGCTCATTAACATAGTAAAATGTTTTGTAATCTTAATTTAATAATCAACACTCAAATTTGACCTTGTTTCACAATCGCAAAAATTTTTTCATATTAAAATATGCATTGCAAATTTCAAACAATATACATATTATTTGGACTAGTAATACATATAAAATACTATGTAATTGTTTATATAAATCCTTACAAAAAAATGTTAATTATATAGTAAAAG